GAACTACCCAGAAACTGTCTCTCTCGAGTAATAAGCACGATTTCAAGCCACCCATAGTGAGTCAAATTTGGCGAAAAGCAGCCAAATTAACAATTCAAAGTGGAAACCTTGTTCCAAATTTTGAAACTTTAGAGCCTTTGATAAAAACCTTTATAAATGTCATATGTATTGATTAAAGTTATATACTATATAAATGATATGATATCATGAAGTGTGAAAAAGAGGTTTGCGAATGTCACATTCATTGTTCTTAGGGATAGTCTTAACATATCTTGGGTCTCTAGGTAATAAATGTTTTTTTGTAGGCAAATGTGTTTTCTAAATAAGTTTTTTTGGAACCTCTTGGTAAAAGATATATTGTAAACTTCAAGGCTCGCCCCTATAGTTAAGCCGACCTAAATTGTTCTTGTGTAAAATGTATTAAAACAATGCCCGGCCCAGTAGTATTATGGGTTCTATGCTAAAAAAATATTTTTGGTAGTTATATGTTATATATTAAAATTTAGGGTATTTTTGTGAATTTTACAATAATATAGAGTTTTTTTTACAAATTTTACAACAATTTAGGACCTTTTTACAAATTTTTTTTAACTAATATTGTGAGCATGCTGTGGGGTCCTGGGCAAGAGCACATGTTGTCATACCTTAGGACGAGACCTGATTAAAACCGAAAGACGATATCAAGAAGAACAAGGCCGGGCCTGAGCAGAGGTAAAAAAAACATAGGTTTTTGGTCCCGAAAAAAAGGTTATTAATATTAACTATTGGTCCCCGATTTTTTGTTTCTTGGCAAAAAGGTTATTAAATTCTTAATTCTTTATTTTTGTTTTCTTTAAAAATATTCCAAAAAACCCAAAATTTTTTTTTTTACATTGGACTCCAAAATTTCAAGACCAACCTTGAGAAGAACTACAAAGTTTCAAAAGAGAAACACCAATAGGTGTTATACAAAAGAAGGTACAAAGATTGAGGTTGAGAAGTCTTAGGAATTCCCACAACCTTAAGATGAACAAGGATTTATGATCAAGTGCTCCCATGTTCAGTAGTGGACTCTGCTTCGATGAAAGCATTAAGCCAAGGAAAACCATCCTAAGCAACGTAAAATCGGTATATGCATTCTCATATACTTATATGAGGCTATTTGCTAGAAAAACTTAAAAACATAGATTCGTTGATACTTCATTGAACTTGTCGGCACTATATTGGGTTTGTGTCATTGATGGTTTAACAATAAGCAAATACTTTACCCACTTTTTGATATCTTAGCAAATCCAACGATAAGATCAGTTTTATGAAGAACATATGAGAAACCAAAACAAGCAAAATATTTGGATATATATCGTTAAATCTAGAAAATGGAG